TCGGACGGTCCGAGCCATGACCGGACTGCCACCAAAGGAGAAGGAGGACATCGATGGCGAGGATAGCTCGGGCAACAAGCAGATCTGGCAGAAACTCTTCAATAAGCTCGAGTGGAGCTTGGATCTTGCGCGGGCAGAAGATTTTCCCCCCTTCTTTCTTACCCCACGTGGTGTCGGAAGGAGAGAGGAATATTCCTTCGACTCCTCTAGATCCACCGCTCCCTGGGTGGGCTATGTCTTGCTCGCGAGCAGCGACGGCCACATGGCTTCCTCCTCTGTCAACTGAGTTCCATGGTGGAAATCAGTGGTGTTCGGAGGATTTGTGAACACCCTCTATAAGAAGCTCGCACGAACCCTAGATCTGCTGGTGGAACTTCTCCTCTTTTCTCTCCCAGTTGGCCACCATGGTGGTGGCAGCAGAAGTGAGAGTGAAGCAGGGCTCCAGATCCTATGGATGGGGATGTGGTTACTCAACGTCGGTGTTGTTGAGTGGGCCTTGGCGCTGCTGGTGGCTCTTTTGGGTACTGGTTGTTGGCTGCCGGTTATGCAGCTCACGCCGACGTTTCTCCTGGTCGAATGGCTGCCGTTTGGAGGCTTGACGCTCCTCTCATTCCTCCCGGTCAGTGAACCAAAAGGGAGGTTGTTCTGTAACGTCAACATGGAGTCCACCTCTTTCTTCTCTGATGTGAGAGGCGGAGCGGTGGCGATCCGGACGCCCCAAGTGGTTTCGTCCCCGGCGGCGGCTGGAGCGTATGCATGCTTGTGTTGTGTGTTGGACCCAGTTGTAATTTCAGATCTAGAGCTAGGGTCCTACTAGCATGTTTCATGGCCTGTTTTAATTTTCTGTTTTCTTGTGTCCTTGGCTGAGCTTTGTATTCCCACCGCTTTGACTTAGTGAGAAGCTCTCTGGGTCCTTCTGGACCCGTGCCCTTATTCAAAAAAGAAGAAGAAAGCTGACCTCTTCACGTTATGTCTGTGAGTTTGCCATCTCCTTTGGAAAAAGAAAATAAGTGGAAAGGGACTCCTCTCGCCCCTCCCGAGCTCGCTACCATACAACCCATTACTTCTAATGTCTGCCACCGTCGGTCGTTGGAATACGTAGTAGAAAAAAAAATTGATCCATTAAGATCCGAGGATCACTATAAAGATGCATAAAGAGGTTTAGATCGGATCGTTACCAACTACGAGTTGTAGCGGTAGAAGAGTTGGCGTACATCTAACTTGAAGTCCCTCGAACCGTCCCGCGAACGATACCTCAAACAAGTACCAAAAGCACGATGCCTCTACAGACTGCACACATACTGAAGTAGTGGTTCAGCAGAGCTCCGCCGTCCAAAGCTTAGAACTACTGAGAAGACTAGAGGGATATATAGCCTAGCGGCGTGGACGTCTTGATCAACTAGACGCGAAAGAGAAACTGGGTGTAGGTTAGTAGCAGTGCAACCTCCAAGAGATTTGATGTGTTCTAGGGTCTGCCCCGCCCCTGTCTTTATATGTTGAAGCTTGGGGTCGAAACATGGGTAGGGAGCCTCCCCAAAGTCGGTTTGGAACTCAAAGAAGAATCCTCCTCGGACTCCAGCACGAAACACCACGGTTTCTGGCATTTACGTAAACACCACGGACTCCAGTGTCTTGCCCATGGGTAGACACCATGAACCCTGGCGTCTAGCCCTTGCCCCCTAAGCAGCCCCGTTGTGCATCGACCTAGGGCCTCTGGACCTTACCCCTTGGCCCAGCTAAGGTGTCCTCGAACCAGGGGCCCTCTGGATTTATGTGGAAGGTTTTGTAACCTTCTGGACTCTACCAAAAATGTCTAGGACCGTCTTGGGACCTTTCAAAACATTTTTGAGAATATCCGGGATACTTTTGAAGATATCTGAAACCCTTTGGTGATCATTCTCTCATTCTCCTTTAACTCTCAGTTCTCTGACAAACCACTAAATGCTAAGTGTGTGACCCTGTAGGTTCGGTGAAATATAGACATGACCGAAACACATTTCGATCAATGATCAATAGCAGAATCATGGACATCTGTAATAACCCCTATACTAACACGAATGATATTCGAGTGAACATACGGTTACCATATCTTATTCCTTTTGCTCTGCGATATATAAAAACTCCGAGGGGAGATATATCGGTACCCCTCACATGCTCACTATATCAGTATCCTCGTTACTTGTTTTGTTCTTCTTTCTTGTTGACGTGTTTCGGCATCCCAATGATCAATTCACGTTGTGTCTGGCCAGATGATGATGGATGGCATCACACCGAGATGGACCTAAGAATATCTCTCCAACGTTGGAGGAGAAAACCCCAGACTTGAGCTATCGAGCCCCTGGTCATACGTTTTCGATGAAACCATAAGTTGCCGTAATGATCACCCCATTACGGATGACGTTTGAACAACCCCAAAGAGCATCGTCTGGTATGGACTGACTCAATACTCTCATGGTCTACGGAATCATAAATATGTTAACTCTCGTGTTATGGACTATAGACTTCAGGCAATATAATCTCTAAGTGTAACAAAAAACATGGGTCAATTCAACACAATTGTTCTTCCAACATTATGCTCTCAAATGTTGCCCGCATTATGCTCATGTCCATGACCAAGAAAACGGAATCATCAATCAACAGTTTGAACTAGTCCTAGAGGCGAGACTAGGAATCTTGTTTTACCATTTATAACTCAACACGTGCGCGTGATTTTTCCTCTGAATCGCATATTTGAAAACCATAGCAGTTATATCATAGAATATAAACATTAATCATAAACCTGGAAATAAATAATAACACAATTATTATTGCCTCTAGTGCATAATTCCAACAATCTCCCACTTGCACTACATTTAACAATGTAGATTACATAGCTTCCTTTACACCAATGGCAATCCGGTGTTGTTCATGCTTTTCTCATTGTAGAGGCTTCATCATCGGGTCTGGCACATTCAGGTCAGTGTGAATCATGAGTATTTTAACTAAACCTTCTTCAACATGATGTTGAATCACATGATACTTGTGTTGTATATGTCTAGACTTCAAATGGCCTCTTGGTTCCTTTGCCTGAGCCATGGCGTTGCTATTATCACAATTGAGCTCCATGGGGTTTGATGCACTTGGAAACACCTCAATTTCTTCAAAAAAGTTCTTGATCCAAACCGCCTCCTTCAAAGCTTCTGAAGCTGCGATATATTCCACTTCCATCGTTGAATTCGCAACAGTGTTCTACTTGAAACTTTTCCAAACCACTGGATCGTCGTTGAGAGTGGATACATAGCCCAATTTAGATTTATAGTCATCTATATCAGGCATGAAGCAAGCATCCATGTAACCACTTGCTACGAACTCTTCATCACCTCCATAGACCATGAGTAAATCCTTAGTCCTTCTAAGGTACTTTAGAATATTTTTAACTGTTGCCGAGTGATCCAATCATGGATACCTGCTACAAACACTTAGAGCATAGGAAACATCTGGTCATGTACATAGCATGACGTACATGATAGATCCCACTGCAAAAGCATATGGAATATTGCTCATCTGCACTCGCTCATACACAGTTCGAGGATTTTGGTTCTTGTTAAGTGTTGTGCCATGTGACATTCGGAGTGAGCCCTCCTTGTTATTCTCCATTTTATACCTCTTTAAAACATTCTCAATGTACGTGCTTTGGCTTAGCGCTATGAGGCATCTAGACCTATCTCTATAGATCTTAATGCCCAATATATATGTTGCTTCGCCTAAGTCTTTCCACAAAAAAGCATTTTCAATGATTCTTTAATTTTACTAAGAAATCCACATCATTTCCAATCAACAATATGTCATCTACATATAAGATTAGAAACGCCTCGGAACTCCCACTAAACTTCTTGTATACACAAGATTCTTCTCCATTCTTGATGAAGCCAAAATCCTTGACTACTTCATCAAATTCCCTGATGCTTGCTTCAAACCGTAAATTGACCTTTGAAGCTTGTTAGAAGGGATAGAGAGGGATCGGTAGAATAGTTGATGTTTATTTCTTGAGCCTTGTGGGCATATATATAGGAGTACACGATCATCTTGGAGTACAAGGCAAGGTGTAATAAATCTTATGCTATCCTAATGTTTCCTAAATAAACATTATAATCAGCACCCCCCCCACAGTCACAACGGTAGG